TTCATACATAGATAAATATGTATAAATGTATGTATGTATAGATCCACCTGTGTCTTTACATACATACACACATATGCCCATGTGTGCAAACTTGTATTCATACATAGATACAAACATACACATAATTACCCATTTGTACACACCTGTATTTATGCATACATACACATATATACTCATGTGTACACACCTGTATCTATACATAGATAAACATATATACTCATGTGTACACACCTGTATCTATACATACATACACATATATACTCATGTGTACACACCTACATACACATATATACTCATGTGTACACACCTGTATCTTTACATACATACACATATATACTAATGTGTACACACCGGTATCTATACATACATACACATATATACTCATGTGTACACACCTGTATCTATACATACATACACATATATACTCATGTGTACACACCGGTATCTATACATACATACACATATATACTCATGTGTACACACCTGTATCTATACATACATACACATATATACTCATGTGTACACAGCAGTATTTATGCATACACACATATGTACTCATGTGTACACACCTGTATTTATACATAGATACACATATATACTCATGTGTACACACCTTTAGTTATACATAGATACACATGTGTACACACCTGTATCTATACATAGATACACATATATACTCATGTGTACACACCTTTAGTTATACATAGATACACATGTGTACACACCTGTATTTATACATAGATACACATATATACTCATGTGTACACACCTTTAGTTATACATAGATACACATGTGTACACACCTGTATCTATACATAGATACACACATACACATATATGCACACAATGCCATGTTTAGATCATTCCATGACTTTACTCCACAGACGACACACAGCAGCTCTTTGGAGTAGGACTATCAGGTGTGTCTCTTCCATCGTTATCGCTGCGTGTGAATCTGGACCAGATCTGTGATTTAGATTCATTTAGATAGTCAGGAAAGAGGATGTGTGTGATCTCTGTGGCCATATAGTGAAATATTCCAATGGCTGGTGTTCCAGCTGTTTTCCCATCCCTCCACACAAGAGTGCTCCTTTACCCTGAAAGTGTTTAACGTGTGACTTCCAGCTTATCTCGGCAGCTGCCATCACCCGAGGAACACTCTTTCAGCCTCTAACCATCTATCCAGATCTTATGTAAAGTCTCTTTTATCCAAAATCCTGAATTTGGTTTGCTTTAAATTTATGTTCATCTATTTTCATCAAACCAACTTTTGCATTCCCAGATTTCTGAAGGTATTACTTTTTAATCACATCCATATCATTACAATGCTCAGATATTTCATCATTACAGCTGTAACTGTAACATCTGGACTAACATCTGGAGTCTCTGATGACCCAGTCAAAGGATGATCCGATGTTCACAAAGAAATGGTTTAAACTGTTTACAACACCGGTGTTATAGTTGGCTCCTGCTGCTGCTTTACTATCACCTGTTAACGCACCTGTACTCATATCTTTTCTATTTGATTTCTGTCTCTTTAGATGTTTTTTGTTATAAATAGATAATATGGTGAACTTTGATTCCTTTAGTTATTGATGGCTGATCCACAGTCGTTGTTTCATTGGCTGATTAATAATAACGCAGCTTTTGTTATATAACAGTAGAATAATTACACATCTGTTTTACGTCTGTTTGGCAAAAGCGATTAACTCAATAAAGATTCGTTTTTATTAAAGCTCTAAACTCAACCCTATTAAAATATGGTAACAAAAAAATCCTGAACATGTTTAAGTCTCACAGCTGCAAAAATACAATTAGGTAGATTTTTCATCATATTCTAATTATTATCATTGTTATTATTAATATTGTTGTTATTAGTATTATTATTGTCATGACAACAACAACAGCAACAATAGTAATTATAATTATTATTTTTATTCTTAATATTATTAATAATATCATTATGATTGTTATTACTAATATTTTCAATATTAAAATTTTGTATCATTATTATCACAATAACAACAACAATAATAGTAATTATTATTGTTGTTGTTATTGATATTAATAAAATAATAATTATTATTATTATTATCATAACAAACAACAACAATAATTATTGTTGTTATTATTATTGTTAGTAATATTATTATCATTATTGCTAATGTTGTTAAGATTATGATCTTTTTTGTTATTATGATAACAACAACAACAATAATAATTAATACAGTTGTTATTAGTATATATTCATTATTGCTAATGTTATTAATATTACAATATTTTTGTTATTATGACAACAACAACAACAATAATAATGATATGGTAAATGGCCTGAATTTGATCTAGTGCCTTCTAGAGTCCTGGAACCCCCCAAGGCGCTTTACAACACAACCAGTCATTCACACGCTGGTGGGGATGATCTATGATGTAGCCACAGCTGCTCTGGGGTGCTCTGACAGAGACGAGGCTTATTGTTGTCATTATTATCGGTATTGTTGTT